ACAGGGGGGCCGTGGCGGAGCATGGCACGCACCACAGCCAGATAAAGGCAAGCATAATTGGGGTCCGCCGATTCCCTGGACACATTCTACTAGTAGTGCTTTTGCTATTGCTACCGCTACCACTGCGACCGCTGTTCCTACTACTCCCACCACTGCGACGACGACGACGACGACGATCAGGACGACAACCACTACTACTGCAACTACAAACTACACCTCCACCACCACCATCACCACTACCACTACAAACTACCACCAACAGTACCAGTACCAGTACCGGCAACAGCAACAACACCAGCATCACTACCACTAACGCTACCACCACCACCACCACCACTAACCTTGCTCTGCTACTGCTACTACTACTACTACTACTACTACTACTACGACAGCGACTACGACTACGACTACGACTACGACTATGCACACTACTACCCACCACCAACACCACCACGACAACGACTAGTGCTACAACTCCTGCGGCTGCTGCTGCTACTGCTGCTACCACTGCTGCTACTGCTAATACTGCTGCAACTAGTTACTACTGATTGCTGCTGCTAGTTTCACAACCGCCTGCACTCCTTGTCCTGCTGCTGCCACCGCTACTGTGGACAATCTAGCGGTCAGATTTGCTGCTGTTTCGGCCCAGGTCCTCCTTGTCCACACGACATACTATGATTCGTCTTGCATGATCTGTTCATCAGCAACCTTCAAACCTAAGCAATAATGGCTTGTGCAAATCAGATAATCATCGATTTGCCACAGCCCTAAGCGCTGCCAGGAGCACATGCTGTCTGCGTATAGGACGCGCTCGGTCCAGCGGTCCTCGTGCTTTGGGCTCTTCTGCAAGCATGTACTTAGAATTCAGATGTTTAGTTTGGGATTGAAGGGTCGAAGAAAAGGTTCGCGAAAAAATCGAGTCACAGCTACATGTTCCGTGTTTGGGACAGCGTCTGCAGAGTCCTTACAAGATGCGTCTATGCGATCGCTCGCTGGGTTGCACAATCTATGCAAAAATGAGCCTCTGGTAGGCACGAGATAGACTAGAACAGAATGACATGAAATGGAATGGAAGGGAATATCAAACCAGATAACACACTAAACTACACTAGAATATGTGTATGTATATATATATATATATATGCTTATTGGTTTATTTATTGAGTTGTTTATTTACCGTTCTAGATATATATATATATATATACATACATACATACATTGTTTTTACGTCTTTGTTTGTTTAGGAATTTGTTTTTTCACATCTATGTATTGATTTGTTAATGTATTCAGTATTCATTTATCTAGATAGTGAAGCTCTTATTGACAGATCCCCCCGAGTAGTTTGAGCCGGAGTCCTCACATGCATGTTGCTTTCAAGTGCTCAGAAAACAAACAGGGTTCAGGATTTTTAGTTTGGGCCTCAGGGAACGTTGTGGCATCCTTCCAACCAGTAAACCCTCCAACCCGAAGCCTGCAACAGCCAACCCCCAAAACTCTGAAACCTAAATCCCTATACCCTCACCCCTAAACCCCTAAACCGTAAAGAGGGACGCAAGACTCCTGAACCCCTTAAAACCTTCAACCCATGACAGCCTCAAACGCCGCCAAAACACTGAGACCCCTACAAACCCTAAACTTCCCTCGACCCTAACCCGAAACCCTAAACCCTAAACCCTGAAATCCCTGAAACCCCTCAGGCCTTGTAGTCTACATTGGAGCTGCAGGCCATGTAGCGCCTGCTGACGCTCTTGAGAAGCACTTTGGCTTCACTTCTGGCCTGGTCGAAGAAGCGTTTTGCTGTCGCTAACTCTCCTTAGGGTTTAGGGTTTAGGGTTTGGGTTTAGGGTTTTGGGTTTAGGGTTTAGGGTTTACAGTTGTGATGACTACCATTACTACCGGTACTGACCAGCCGTAGTAGGATTAGCAGTAGCAGTCATGGCAGTAGTAGCAGTAACAGTGGCAGTGGTCGTGGCAGTAGGAGTAGGAGTAGTAGTAGTAGTAGTAGTAGTAGCAGCAGCAGCAGCAGTAGTAGTAGCAGCAGTAGTAGTAGTAGTAGTAGTAGTAGTAGTAATAGTAGTAGCAGTTGTTGTTGTTGCTGCTGTAGTTGTAGTTGTAGTTGTTGCTGTAAAATGCAAACTTAGTCATCATTATTGCTGCTGATGCTTTTGAGTTTCTTCCGGCCCTAGGTTAGGGAGGTGTCGGATTCAGGCCTATATACCGCTATATACCTTTAAGGCTCTAGGGTTTAGGGTTTGGGGTTTAGGCTTATGGGGTGGGGTTTAGTTTAGGGGTGTCGGGATGATGCTTTGGAGGGGTTTCGTGGTTCAGAAGGTTAAGGGTTTAGGGATTTAGGGATCTAGGGATTTAGGGTTTAGGGTTTAGGGTTCAGGGATTTCGGGCTTGAGGCATTGATGCACCAGAATTCCGCACTCGACAAGCCCACACCCCAAACCAAAAGAAGGAGGTAAAACCCTGCCAAAAGCCTCGAAAACCCCTTTACTGCCCCATCAAGTCCTTACAAAACCCGAGCAGCCCCCCAAAAGGACAGAACAACATCCCCATGGGACCTTCCTAAACACAGCAAACACACACAACAACAAACCTTACAAAACCCTAAACCCTAAACCCTAAATCCCTAAATCCCTAAAACCCTAAATCCCTCATTCCCTAAATCCCTCAATCTCTCAATCCCTAAATCCCTAAATCCCTAAATCCCTCAATCCCTAAATCCCTAAATCCCTAAATCCCTCAACCCCTCAATCCCTAAATCCCTCAATCCCTAAATCCCTAAATCTCTCAATCCCTAAACCCTAAATCGCTAAATCCCTAAATCCCTAAACCCTAAACCCTAAATCCCTAAATCCCTAAACCCTAAACCCTAATCCCTAAATCCCTAAACCCCTAGATCCCTAAATCCCTCAAGCCCTAAATCCCTAAATCCCTCAAGCCCTAAATCCCTAAATCCCTAAATCCCTAAATCCCTAAACCCCTAAACCTTAAACCCTAAACCCTAAACCCCTCATAAATCCCTTAGAACACCCGTACAAAACCCTCGAAACCCTGCGACGGCCTCGCTCTTCATCTCCACGGCCACCATGCCGCGGCCCGGAAGTGCCGGGTTCGGCACTCCGCCGGCAGAAGCAGGGAGTTTTTGTTTTTGGGTTTAGGGTTTAGGGTTTAGGGTTGAGGGTTTTTGTAGAGTTTTGCCAAGATCCCTTGGTGATGCCATGGCTTTGGGGTTTATGAGTCAGGGTTCGGGGCTTGGGGGCGTAGAGCCTCACAGGAGGTCTTGTGGGGTGGAACCCAGGGACTCCAATACCCCAAAATAAAGGAATATACCTCAAACTATAGTAGGATCCCTAATACAATTTAAGGTATATTCCTTAATTAAGGGGTATTGGAGTCTCTGGGAAGCTTGCAGCTTCATGGCTTAGGTTCTTGGTCTAGGACATTTTCAGGTGGGTAGTTACCGTTAGAGGAGCCTTATAGAAGGCCTATATACCTTATGGAAGCCTTACGGAAGCCCTATAGAGCCTAAACTCCCCACCTGAGGATGTCCTAGACTTGGGGCTGGCGACGTTCGAGGCACGATTCCCAAAATGGCTGTACCTACCGTTGGATTTGGATATGGCACCGAAAAGTCAGCTACTACAATGCCGCCATGGCTTATACTTTATACTATAACCACTGTCAGTATCGGCAATCACAACAACAAATGTCAACAGCGAATGTAATAACTCGTGGCATCGCGGTGTGATTCTCATAAATTTCTTGCCGGTTCAGGGTGCTGGGGAGCCATATGCTGCAATCCCTAGTCGCATCTACATCCGAAGTCACTTGCAGAGTTCACCACAATGTCGTGGCCATTGCGATTTCAAGTCCTACTGTTGATGATATAAATCCTGCATTAGCTTAAGGACCCTAAGCTGCGGGAAAAAGGGTATCTTCATTCTTATGGGTAATGCAGGATTTATATCATCAAGTCCTAAAACCCCTACACCCTAAACCCTAAACCTCGTCTTCGATGCCGGGGTGCATCCTGAAGCACCAGAAGCAAGACCATGGTGGATCCGAGGACTGCGCATGCCTCGGGAAGGCCACAGGCCGTCTTTAGGGTTTAGGGTTTAGGGTTTAGGGTTTAGGGGTCAGAGTTACATTGGGGCTTTGGCGTCCAGGGTTTACTGGCTCAAGGTCTTTGAGTTTAGGGTGCAGGGTTTAGGGGTTTAGGGTCCAGGGACAAGGGGTTTAGGGTTTAGGGCTTGCGGGTTTAGGGGTTTAGGGGTTCAGGGGTCAGGGTTGGGGATGGTTTCGGGTTTCGCGTTCGTCGTGGCAGAAGGGGTTGGATGGAAGAAATTAGCAACTGTCGTTGTTGCTGCCGCTGCTGGCAGCGGTGTTCGTCGTGGTTGCACGTAGTAACCAATACAGGCGACCGTAGACGCATCAACGAGCAATACGGTTGATGATGTAAATCCTGCATTACCCATAATAAGACATAAACCCTGTTTCCGATAGTTTAGGGTCCTTAAGGTAATGCAGGGTTTATATCATCATCAGTAGTCTTCGTTGTTTGGGTATGGTTCGGGCCATACCTTCGATTTCGGTGATTGCTGTTGGGCAAATTTTCAGTCGGTCGTTCCCTGCGGTTGAAAGCTCTGCTTCCAAGGCGGAATGGACCGGACTTCCTATTACACCCAGCCCGAACGAAATCCAGGAAGGTCGCAGGCCTGAGCAGCCACACCGGCTGAGACGACAAATTGACGGCTGGCCTTGTGGATGACAGCAACAAGGTCAAACAAGGGTTGCTGCGGCTGGTACTGCCAACAGCTGACGCTTGCTTCCCGCTGCCGTTGTCTCTCAGCTTATTTGCGATGAAATCTGCGTTCTGGTATGGTAGTTGGACTTTACTCGCAAGCCAAAAGCCTCACAAGCCTCGGGGCTAAAGACTACTAACTGCCAGCGATCTTCTACTTGAGGCTATGGCTTCACGTCTCTAAAGGAGCGTCTCGAGTGCTGCAGGCGGCAGGGTGTGGAAACGAAATCTGCATCTGAATTTCTGGACCCGAAACCCTAAACCCCTAAACCCCTAAACCCTAAGCTTGCCGTAAACAGCGGGGCAGCTCTGAGCTGCACATGTCTTTGGGCCATCGGGAGTTGAGCTGGGACTCCGTCACCGACAACTGACAATCCGAGCCTTAGGGTTTTGGGTTTAGGGTTTAGGGTATTGGGTTTAGGGTTTAGGGGTTTTGGGTTACAGCATCGAAAACGCAGAAAAGCACGGAAATTTCTACCATCCACCCCAAAGAAAAAACCCTTGAACGCCCCAAAATGCCGACGTCTGGATCTGCCTGGTCCGCCCACGCCCCGAGTGCAGGCGCAATCAGTGCGGAAGCGAACCTGAAACGCGGCAGGATGCATACGAGGTTTATGGTTTAGGGAGTTTAGGGCTTATGGATTTGGGGGTTAGGGTTTAGGGAGTTTAAGGTTCAGGTTCAGGGATTAAGGCTCAGGGTTTAGGGTTCGGGGGTCCCGGGTCTAGAGTCCAGCTGTCATCTAGAGGTCAAGGGGACCCGGGCAGGCTAGGGTTTAGGGTTTAGGGTTTAGGGTTTAGGGTTTAGGGTTTAGGGTTTAGGGTTTAGGGTTTAGGGTTTAGGGTTTAGGGTTTAGGGTCGTAAATCGTTTCAACCATGTCCAGACTGGCTTACTCAAAATGCCCTCCTCTGACCTAGGCAATGCGAAAACTGAAAACCCCTAAAGCCTAAACCTAAACCCTAAACCCTAAATCCTAAACCCGAGACCTGAACCCGAAAACCCACTGCCACTGAGCCGGCAGCATTGTCGCCAGGCCCCAGCATGCGGGCCCTGCACGGCAATCCGGAAGCGAAGGGGCGCTTGAAAAGCTGTCTATGTGTATGTGTATATACATGTGTGTATATAAATATAGGCATACATCCAAATAATATATCTCTATATATATATATATATATATATACATGTATCGAAATATATCTATCTATCTATCTATCTATCGATCGATCGATCGATCGATCGATCGCTCTCTCTCTCTCTCTGCAGTAACGGGCTTCAGTGTTAGGGTACAGGAGTCAACAGTTCAGGTTCAGGGTTTTAAGTTCTCGGATAAAGCAGCCGAAGCTTTGTGGCTTCAGGTGTTAACCCTAAACCCTAAACCCTAAACCCTAAACCCTTAAACCCTTAAACCCTAAACCGGGTTTAGGGGCTTCGGGTTTAGGGTTTAAGGGTTTAGGGGTTTGGGGTTTAAGGGTTTAGGGTTTAGGGGTTTAGGGGTTTAAGGGTTTAGGGGTTTGGGGATTTAGGGGTTTAGGGTTTAGGGGTTTAGGGGTTTAAGGGTTTAGGGTTTAGGGTTTAGGGTTGGTTTAGTGGTGTAGGGTTTAGGGTCGTTTAAGGTAAAGTGGTAAAAGGCCCAGAATGGTAGGGTTTCAGGTTAAAGGTAGGCTGCACGAGCAAAACTTTAACATTGCTCTGCCATTCAACTCATGCGATTGAATGCTCTGTAAAACGACAAACATCAGCTTTAGCGAACACCACTTCTGCACCCACGTGATTGTCATAATTATGTCTTTATATACTTACATATATGTAGATAATGAACCCCCAAAGCCCTGTTCTAAGTTTTCTGCTCGCCAAGCCCCGTTTTGTTGCTCGTGTGAACCTGTCGACCCTCCTTCTCATCCTTCTCGTTGAAGTCAGAACCATTGCTCTGTTCTTTGCCGTAGTCGTCACTATGGCGGTCGTCATATTCCTCGTGTCTATCATGATTGTCATTGTCACCCGAACCGTCGTTGTCATATGTTATCATGGTCAACCCCCCCCCCCCCCACCAGCACCAGCATCATGAGGCTCAGAAAATGTGAACCAGCTGAGTCTGGTGACACGCATGCGACCCGAGTCGGCATGCTGTTGATGAGTATTGCATCACCCCTTCGTGAGAACTGGCGAGAACAAGCAGACAGACGTCCCCACGCCCCTAAACCCTAAACCCTAAACCCTAAACCCTAAACCCTAAACCCGAAACCCGAAACCCTAAACCCTAAACCCTAAACCCTAAACCCTAAGCGCAAGTCGCGCACTCCTCACAAAGTCCAGAGCTCTTGACATGAGTCTATGCCGGCCCGACTGCCACATCTGAAATCTCGTGGCTTTGAAAGGCGCCCTTTAGGGTTTCAGAGTTTAGGGTTCCCTAAACCCTGAACCCTAAACCCTAAACCCTAAACCCTAAACCCTAAACCCCTAACCCCTAAACCCCTAAACCCCCTAAAGTTTGGTTTAGGGTTGACTGAGTCTCCCCGGCCGATGAGACATCCCGGCGTGAACCGGAGAAGGACCAGCGGCGCGATGAAGAGCCAGCCCTGTGTACCGAGCCTCGGATTTCACGAAGAGGGTTTAGGGTTTAGGGTTTAGGGTTTAGGGTTTAGGGTTTAGGGGTTAGGGGTTAGGGGTTTAGGGTTTAGGGTTTAGGTTTTTTTTTTTTCTTGCGGGCCCTTTTCCAACTGCCGAGGCAGCCGAAACTCCCTACCGGGAGGAGCCAGTGGGAGGTTGAGGCCACATACTCCTGAAAGCTGACTCCTCAACAAGTCCCAACCACCCTCACAGTCCCAAAAACCACCCCGCAGCCCCAACCCCACAGAAGACTTGCAGCACACGGCACTTCTACGGCTCGGTGCGAAAGTCCCCCTAACGATACACTGCAGCACGAAAGCTCACAGAACGACAGTCTTGTTCAAGGCAGATGTCAGCCGTGCTCCCCAATCAAATCCGAAGGAAGAGGAGGACCCCTCATCTAAGCAAGGCCATTCGGCCCGAGAAGAGCTACCCGCTAGCACTATCCGACTCACTCCCAGGGCTCACATCACGTTGGTCACCATGACCGTAGGGTTTAGGGTTTAGGGTTTAGGGTCTTTCTCCTTAAATCCTGTAGGGTCCGAGACACGGTTTCAAGCATGTGGCTTGCATCATATTTCTATGCCGAAGGATTGAAGTCTCTAGCTGCAAGCTGCAGCTGCAGTCATCATTAAAGCTTTCTTGTTGCTCCTGTTGTTGCTCTCAAGGCCGTTGCTGCTATTGCTGCCACCTCTGCTCTTGCTGCTGCCTTTGTCTTAAGCAGCAGAGGGAGAGACTCGGTCGAAAGAGCAGCACAATAAACCTGTCCACCCACCAAAAATGTCGTGTGCTTCTACCCAGAGACTCCAATGTCCGTCAAGTCAATTAAGGAATAAACCTTAAATTATAGTAGGATATGATTTAAGGTATATTCCTTAACTAAGGGGTATTGGAGTTTCTGGGTACCAACCCTGCATGTCCAGCCTTGTGATCGCATGGCTCAAGAAAAGCTTCTGCTGCACCTCATGTCTGCGAAATGAGGGCTCGCGCATGCACTCGTCTGGGGTGAGGAGGGAGCGGCCAAACAGATGCCTCCGGCAAAAGCAGCCTTCGCTAGAGACACTGAAGTGCATCCAGCCACAAGTGCAGCAAGAAAAGCAAATGCGACGTCAGCTTTGCAAGAACCTGCCCTCCTAAAGCTCACCTGAATCACCACTAAATCTTCAGAAATGGAGATTGGGTTCTGCGCCCCTTTTCGCCCAGACACCAACAGTCTATGATGGGGCTACTATCAGGGGCCTGTTTTCCGCTATGCTATAGACAGTAAGTATTCGACGGTTACAAGAGTGGGGGCAGTCTCCAAAATCCCTAAACCCTAAACCCTAAACCCTAAACACTAAACCCCTAAACCCTAAACCCTAAACACTTAAACCCTAAACCCTAAACCCTAAATCTCGAACCTGGAGCAACCGAAACCAGAACCACGGCCTGGCGTAGACGGGCGCAGGTTGAGATGCCCGACACCCCATTGGGCTTGTTGGGTTTAGGGTTTAGGGTTTGGGTTTAGGATTTAGGGTTTAGGGTTTAGGGTTTTTAGGGTTTAGGATTTAGGGTTTAGGGTTTAGGGCTTAGGGTTTCCCAAAGCCCTGGTAAGGCACGACCTAAATGAAGGCCTGGGCGTCCGTAAGACCCGGCAGCAAGGGCTCAGCCGAAGCCATCGCTTCAAGAAACTACGAAGTCGGGCCCTCGGCTTCGCTACACTTGGCCGTGGCATTCACGGAGGGTTTAGGGTTTAGGACTTATAGGGTTTACCGGAATAAGAGGCATAATATTGTATAGAAAACATATGAGAACATCATACCTGCAAGTGAAAGCGTGGGGAATGTGGGATTGCGGCATCCAGTTCCAGAAAGATGCCTGCGTCCAGCTGGATGTACCTCTCGGCATGTCTGGCAATAAAGGCTTTTCGGCTCAACCGTGATTAGAATTTCGTGGGAGCAAGGACGGCGCAATCTTGACGGCCAGGCAGTCCTGCACCTGCAAACCCTAAAGCTGCCTTTGAGGATAGGACCCGAAGTCTCGTCTCTTCCGCCAATTGGTTTAGGGCCTGTTTAGCGCTTAGGCTTCCTTCTCTCCCTCCTATAGTCATGGCATAGTCTGCTTCAGTGGAGTTATGCTGTCTCTGGTCTGCCATGTTTTGCAGCTGGAG